TTGGTTTTGTTTGCAATTTTAGTCTCAGTAATACTAGCAATTGAAATATCATAGTTTATGCAATAATTCTGCCAGATTTGCCTTTTAGAGGCTACATTAAAGCTTTTAACATTATGTGTAGCAATAGTAAGATGTAGATTATGTAAGTTGGATTGTTTGGGTTGTATAGATGAGTTGTTAAGATTTATATTTGTATTGGAAAAGTTATGAGTACTGTATATGATTTAAGAGAAATAAAAAGGTTAAGGTAGATAGTATTAAGGTAAAATACAATAATATGATCTGGTAGAGGGCAAGACTCTTCTGGTAAATAGATATGTACTTTACTATAGTTAGTTTTAACAGATATAATAATTCATTTATAGAGTTTGTCCCACAAACCAATTTTGAGTAAATGTAGAAAAAAAGAGTTAAGGGTTTGAAGAGCTTGAATTGGAGGAGAGTTTATAAATAAGAGGAATTGGTTAAAGCAAATATATAAATCATAAGGTGTAGAGGGATTGTAACATGAATCTTATAAATGTCTTTTACATTATCGCTCACTGTATACTCAGCTCTTGCAGTTTTGCAAGAATTAGAAGTACTTTGGTTAGGCGTTGGAGTACTATCATTATCAGATTCTTTCAGGTATTTTATTCAAATTTATAAATATATAAAATAAAATAAAATTTTACTGAATTTATAAAATTTAACAAAAAAAATCATTTAGTTAAATTATTATTGGATTTTTTTTTTTTTTAATATTCGCAGTCATGCCTCAACTTTATTAGACTTTGTATTACTTATTTAAATTAGTAAAATTTTACAATAAGTGGATTTAAAAGGTAAGTGATAAACTTTTAACTTGTTGGCAGATAGTGTATAAGAACTATTTTTAAACAACAAGTGCTATACCAATAATTTTATATTATCTAAATTACAAGTTGCAACTAACCTAGTTGCTTACTAAGTATCTATATTTGACTTATTATAGCAAGCTTTACCTCCTTCTAGACTCCTCCTGCAATTGGTTATAACCTGGATCTCAATAGCTAAAACTTGCCACCCATCATAACTACTTCCTCTTCTTTCAAACTTCTTCTATTTAGGTCTGGGCAAAATAGTTTAACTCTTATTCTTATATAAAAGTAAAAAATATATGCCAAATTTACGAAAAATATAAATATTTAGCAAAAAAAACCACATAATAGAAAAAAAAGATATAAACAAAAATTCTAAAAGTATTCGATCATAAATAAATGAAAATAAAAAAAGTAAAAAAAAGAAAGACAGCTATGACATACTATTATGGCCTATACTAAGCATAAGAGTAAAAATTATATACTAATTGCAACAACTAATATATTTCTATTAAAAGTTTTAACTTTAATAGTTTGACTCGTTCTGGGTACTGACTCAACTCAGATATCTCCTAAATGAGAATATCGATCTTTTCCTCATACTATAGCACTTTGATTATCTAAATAAACAAAACACGTAGTTGCATTCTACTGAGTTTATTTAAATTGGAAAAGTGTAAACAATGCTAATCTTTTGGAAAGAGTAAGCCAAATGCCTACTTTTTATCAAAAATTTTAGTAAGATTGATGAAAAGTAACTAGAAGAAAAAAACCTCTTAGTACTACTTAAAAGAAAGTATGTTACTAAAAACAAAAGAAACAATGAAGTAGACAAACTCTTTCCAACGATTACTAAAACCAAAATTTTTCAAACAATTTTTGTAAAAACAGTAACTAGTAAGTAATGAAGGGCGTAAAACTGGAATTCATAAGTCAGCAGTTGTTATTTAGAGGTAGTTCTCATATACTACCTGCTAACTTCTTCAGAGTTTATCACTCACCACTGATATAGCACTTGTCGTTTAGAAGTAGTTCTTATATGCTACTTGCCAACAAGTTCAGAGTTTATCACTTACCGTTTAAGTACAGTAGCTCCTCACCTTTTCTAGAAAAAGGGTTACTAGTTGTCAGTTCTTTCAAGGATAAAATACTCTTTTTGGGTACTAGTGGTCCTTTCTTTAAGTCTCTCTTGGTTCTGTTGGTTTTCTCTAAAATTTTTGATAAAAAGTAGGTGATTTGGCTTACCTTCTCCAAAATATCAGCATTGTTTATCTCTCAAATTTGGACGTACCCAGAAATGCAACCATGTGTCTTGTTTATTGGTGGATATGATACACAATGTAATCTATGGATATGAGACCTTCATGTAACTGGAATCGGGTCTCTGGCATAAGAGGCATCCAGAGATAGCCGGTAGTCAGATAATAAAGATTTTATATTATAGTCGAGATATACAAACATTGCAGTTGTTATAAAATTTTTTTTAAACCTGGCATGGGTTATAATAGTGTATTTTTTCTTGTTTTGTTTTTTTTTTATTTCGTTTCCCCTATGCTATTTCTTTATAGAGATAGTTTCCCCCTTTGTCAGCTCTTAGGCTTTTCTCTTTGTGTTTCTTTTTTTTTACATCTCATTGTACCTTTTTTTTTTTTTCTTTAAAAACACCCTTCGTTCTATTTGTTTTTTTTAGTTAGTTTTTTCGGTTTGTTTTTTTGGTATTATTGGTGGTTTTGTATAAAATCATCACTTTCTTTTGCTCTCGGTAAAGAAAGGAAATATGAAGAGAAAAGCTTTGACAGGCTGACAAAGTTTATCTAACTTGTATACAGGTTGGTGCGACAAGTCACAGTTGGGCACGTTTATCGCAGCTAGGTGATGTCAGGCTCACAATCGCGAGACTCCCTGTTTTTTGGTTATAAATGATATATGTATTGTTCGAGAAAGCTTAGCTCTCACCTGAAATATAGTCACAATAAATTGAGTACTGGCAAGATTGTCAAAGATTTTAAAAAAAAAAGCAAAAAAAAAAAACAAAAGAAATAGCCTTCTAGCCAAGAACTGCACTACTCGAATTTTATTAGTAAGTAATAAGCTTTAGCAAATAGCATATAAGAACTATTTCTAAATGACAAGTGCCAAGTTTACAGTAAGTAATAAACTCTAAAACTATTGGCAGATAGCATATAAGAACTACCTTTAAACAACAAGTGCTGTCTTAAAGTTCTTCTTTCTTTGACTTATGTATTCTGGGCAGATCGGTTTTTACTGTTTCTAGTAAAAAGTTTTTTCAGAAAAATTAAACCAAGTAATTGTCAAAAAGAGTACTATTTTAAATTATTATTAAAGGGTTAGAGTCCCATAGCCTAGTGGTTTAGATGCCTAACTCTCCACAGATGAGGTCAATAGTTTGATTATAGCTAGTGGTAATTAATTTAATTAATTATTTCTATAACCTACAGGAGCTTTTGAATGTGAAACCCTGTAACGATAAGACTATGTGAAGTATATATTTGGTCTATAAAGAATTCTTGGAAGGAGTCCCAAGCCATAGAGAAGACTGGGCACTACATGTGACATGGCGTTATAGAAAGTAATACCGCATAAGACTGTGTATGTAAATCCTTAATTGGCTAGATAGCACCAACAACCCTAAGGCGGTCTTGGAGATTTTGATTGGGAGGATGGCTAAATACAGTATATCTGGAAGTGGTAAGAGAAGCGGCGAATACAGTAAGGGGCTGTGGTAAGAAGATGGCTTTACCAAATAAAGAAACACCTCTGATATACAAGATTGAAAAATTAGAAAACTAATAAGGAAACACTGCATATCACAACATCGATGATAGGTGCCATACTGATGTGCTATAAGTCAAGATTTCAGGCCTCTTTGCATTACCAAGCTAAAAGTAAAATGATCGTTAGTAGTACACCCATATAACATAGTTATATTGGGAAGCTTTGGTGCTCATGCTACAGTCAATCATACCAACTATGGAAGCATTGTATAAAGTAGGTGGTATATTGCAAATAACAACTAAAGATTCAATAAATCTAGCCATGCCATATAGTACCAATACATAGAGGGTTATGTACACCAATATGGAAGCAAGAAAAGCAAAAAACTGCCAAAATGAACCAATTTGAAAGAATTACAAGGTTGTTGCAGGAAGTAGATAGAGGAGTATAATAGTATAAAAATAGATAACAATAGAAAATCTTGTAATATAGTATGTAATTGAGGACTAATTATGAAGGTTAAAATAGGTACCCTTATGTCAAGCAAATTCCGGGCTAAAGATCGCTAAAGATCACTTTCGATCATAAATTTCGTAGATCAGATCTAATAAAATTACAGGATCTTGTACAACAAAACAAACACAAAAAATATAAAAAACTGCAAAAAATTGTAAATAACGCAGAATTTACTATGCTAACTAACTTCCAACCTTTAAATAAAAGTTTTCAGCACGAAATTTTAGTTATAAAGAGCATTTTTATATACTAAATATATAGAAAATTTTTGATATACTATAACCCAAAATTTTTAGGCTATAAATAATTTTAAGCCCAAAATTTGCTTAATATAAGGATACCTGGTTGAAATTGAGATATGAATTGTATTACAGCCACACCCCAAAAGGTAGTATGAGATACGAACACAATAGTGGCAGTCAATATGTACTAATTGAGAAAAAAATTATAGAAAATAATTACATGGGAGGACATGTAATAGTAGGTTGCTCCAACCGACCCTAGCTTGAAGTTGGCTTGAAATAGTTAATAGAAAAGTAATATAGAGAAAATAAGGAGTATAATGCACATTGGGTGACTAGTAATAGTAGCACAAATATAATTAGAAACTGTATATCAATTGCTCTGTAAAAAGGTGTTAATCATGACTAATAAAGTTTCTACGTTGGCAATATAAAAAAAAAAAAAAAAAGATAGGTTATTACCATGCTAATTTCTTTCAAACCAAAACTGATTGAGTTTATTTTTAATGATAGAGTTCTACAACTCTAATAAAACTTTTTATATTTTTCTTTTTTGTTTATTCTTTGTAGTTTTATTTTTTTTCTAAATAGTACTTTAAACTGTATAAATATTGTAAAATTAAATTGAATTTATTAGCCAATCAGATGAACTTCTGTTTATAAATCTTCACCATAACTCCAACTATTCATCGATTTCTTCTTTGAGAATATTAATTGTATTTTTATGAGTATTATTAGAATATTCTTCTATTAGTATTTCTAAAAGGGATTTATTTTATAGTGCTATAGCACTATAGTGTTAGGGCAATTTAACCAATTAAAATTTAAAATCAGATATAATATGCAAATCATCTTTGTATAACAAAAATAAAAAAATTTTTTAAAAAACAATTATATCTCAAAATTTTGTCTAAATAACTATCTTTTAAGCTTTAACAAAAAAATTTCTTCCTAAATTTTACTATAAAAACTACTTAACTCTACTCTTTAACCCTTACCCTAATATTAAAAAAAGTTAATTTTTGTCTTAATAAAAGTTGTTTTGATTTATATGTTATACTAGTTTGTTTATTACATATAGGGTAGCATTGCAGTGCTATAGTGCTATAGTAATATTCCCTTTCTAAAATACTATCAACAATATTATAAATGTATTAATTATTTGCTATTATATAAATAAGCTTACAAATCAAAATTAATGAGATTTATACTTCATATACTGATTTTAAACATTTGGTACCTTTTGGACAACCTCTACCATAGTGTATTTTTGGGTTAAAATCATAGCATCACTAGTTTCTTTTTTAACATCCAGACTATCAATTTCTTCTGAATTATCTGATTTAAATTGCTTAATATTATTATTTTTAACAAAATCAATTAAATGTTGTGATGTTGTTTTATTCTGCAATGCTTTATAAAGGGCTCTTTTGTATACACCATAAAGATTTTTATATATCATCTTTTGTTTAAGAGTTATAAATTTTTTTCTCGAAAATCAAACTTCTCTTGTTTAAAATACAAATATGAAACTAGAAAATTATATTCTTTTGGCACTTTAATAGAAAACTTGTCTGCTACTATAAATGGCTCCTCTGCACCAATTTCTTTTGTACTATACCACATGAAGGCAGCATCTGAATATGAACTTTGTATTAATTGTACTTAGCATTATCTAAAAGTAATGCTGACATACTATATTACATTATATAATAAATAAACAAAAACACAGATATGACTGATTCTTTAATAGTAAAACATAATACTTTATTTTTGTTGAATTTTTAGCACAAATAGCCCAAGTCTTCTGAGTATTGTTCAAGCCAGCAAATTCAATTAGTTGATTAAGACTAGTTTGCATATTATCATTGTCAAATTCTTTATAAGAATTGTTAGAATTATTCTATTAAAAACAACTTTAATATACTATAGCATATTTATTCAAACAAAATAAATAATTGAATACTTACTTCACTAGAATGCATCATATTTTTAATTATATTCGACATATAATAAACTGACTAATTAATTTCATTATGTTGCATTTGTAAAATAATTAGCATAAAGAACTTTTAAATATACTTGTCAATATTAGTAAACAAAAGTTTACTTTATTCTGATTTTTTATATTTGGAATCGAGAGCTTCCAAAATTTATATTTGTTATCTCTATTATGAATATTCAATAACCTAGTAATTTTAGTTAAAAGATCATATAAAGAGACATTTAAACTATGTAATAAATATTTCACACTTGCATTTACTGATTCAACTTGTAATGTAGCAATCATTCCTCTAGTAAACTTGAAACACTAAAACAATGGGCCCAATAAGCTTTCAATTTAAAAAAAAACTCCAAATAACTTTTGATACTAGAATAATCTTAAGTAAGTTTATTAAACTGTTGATGAAAAAATTTTTAGAGAAACTATTATGGCAAATATAGAAGTTTTTAAGAAAGGTTTGGTATAAATTGCCTAATAGCTTTTTGAGATTTTTATATAGATTTTGTATTAAATGATAAGCACAATAAATTGAATATGTCATAGTAAATACTTGACAAACTATAGCATTAACTGCTAGATTGGCATCACTAAGAATTATAGCTAGATAAACATTTGTGGCTTTAATAATTTTTGTAAAAGTCTACTTATGTAAGCCAAACTTTTATTACAAAGAAGTGCTTGTACTAATAAAATATTTTTGTAATTACTGTTAAATCTAACAAACAATGACAATGCTATCTCATAATAATTAGTCTTGTGGGCAATGTTATGTAAAATATAGTCTGAGTATTGGATCCAATTTTAGACTTGATCTGGCATCATTTATAGTAAATGCATTAAGGTATTGTCTTTATCAAACTTATATACAACAACCTAATAAGAATCTATATCTTTTTTCTGGTCAAGCTAGTTGAAAATCTATAAAGTAATATATCAATCAAACCTAATTTATATTATTTGCTTATATATAATATAGTAATAGACTAGATCATATCTTTGTCACATTATTAAGCAATGATTTGTTAGTTGAACAAAATTTTTGGATTGCAAAATACAAGTCTTTTAAGCATATGGGCGATCAAAAGTAGAAACCACCAAATTTGATCTTTTTTTAAAAAATGAGTTTTTAGATTATTCAGATACAACTTTTAGTGTTAAATCTTTTTTAATTAATAACGAAAATATAATCATTTAGTAAATTTTAAAGTTATAATCATTTAAAAACTTTTAAATAGTAAAATGACAAAATCTAAAAATAGATCAATGTCTAATGTCACTCAATTGTTTATATTTGGCCATAGTAGATCTACAAAAATTAGCCAATCAGTTAAAATAACAAACAGGTTTATAATCCAGAATTGTTATTTTTAGGTTTGTTTTGTTTTGTATAACAAAATATGATTTGCCAATTATCTCAAAACTCGTAATCATTAAAATTCGGCGGTTTCTACTTTTGACCACCCATATTGTTCACATTAGATACTTGCTTTCTAGAAACTTTCTTTATATAGTTGCTTCAAATTTGCAATTTTCAGCTATAAATTTTATATTAGCCAGCATTTTAGCAATAAATTGTTTTCTATCTTCAAGCATAATTCTACTTTAGTTCAATAGATAGTTATAAGTATCACCTATTTTGTTAATAAACATGGAATGTTCTATATTGTTAATTTTAGAGCATAAGATATTGACAGGATAAGAACATTGTGTCTTTTTAGTAACTATATCCTTTTCAGTATTTGATTTATAAAAGTCTCTATAATTATATAAATAAGTTCTTCGACAAAGGACTCTATTTTCCTGAGTAATGGGATCTTTAATAAAACAAAATCACTTATTCTTCGCCCATTTATTAAGAAATAACTTGCATTTATCCCAAGTACTAAATTTTTTTTCAGAAAATAAGGATAATGATTCTATTTCATTTTGTGATATTATATAATCATAGCTCTCTATTAATACCAAAATAAACAATATTAATACATTAATGTTATATTTAACAATATCTTTATTTTTTATGCCAAACTCTTAACAAACCTATTTCAAATTCAGAATTCATAGCTTCTTTATTTATAAAATCATTTGAAGCTTCACCTGTAAAATGTTCTTGCTCTTCATTTTCTTTATTTATTACAAGAAAATCATCTAGTTTTTATTTATAGTCAAAAACTATTTATGTTTCATTTATAGCAAAATATAAATAACAACTTAAAAAAAAACTAATTTGTAATATTAGTCAAGCTTGGGTTAGTTTTTATCTAATAAATATATCCTTCAAGAAATCAAATTTTAATTTAAAAAACTATGCTTATTCAAGAAGTACTTGTATTATCAAATATACCTGCTGAAATAAACATCAGAAAAATAGTTATTGAAATCAGATGCTCTTAATTCAGATTATTCTAATAATAATGCTATAAATATAGTAGGCAATAGAGATCTTTACCTCTTTATAGCTTTATTTCAATATTCAATAAAACTACTACTTGCACTTCAACAAAATCATAATTGCAAAACCTGAAGGTTATTGATGTACTATCAAAATAGAGTATTAGAAAAAGGGTTATTATTGAAGTAAAATAGTCTACAACACTTATTATACTTACAAGCAAAAGGTACTAGTATGATTAATATTAGCTTTGGGTAGGGTTTTATAGCTTTCAAGTAAATCTTTAAAACAGTGAAATAATATTCTTAGTTCAAACTTCTTAATAAAAACCTAATGTCAATGCTACAAATGTGAGAACTTTACCTTTTATGCTTTAATGAAATTACACACTTGCAGTCATAGACAAAACCACATACTAGTACTTCAATGAAGTCATGGATAAAATCATACACTTACACTTCAATAAAGTTACAGACGAAACACACACTTGCATTTCAATAAAGTTATGAATGAACCAACAAACTAGCACTTCAACAAACTCACAGACAAAACTACACACTTGTACTTCAATAAACTCACAGACAAAACCACACACATGGATGAAACTACAAAAAACCACACACATGGATGAAACTACAAAAAACCACACACATGGATGAAACCATATATACACAGACACTTGCACTTCAATGAACTCACAGAGGCTTTAGCCTAAAATTACCATGGCTATCCAAATAGTACTTGTACTATCAAATTGACGTTTTACACCTGCTGAATTAAAGAATGTTAGAAAAGAAATATGAATGAAATCAGATGCTCATCACTAAATTCTACTTACAAGAGAGTAGATACCAGTATAATCAAAGTTGGCTTTGGCTTTATAGCTTTCTAGTAAAACTTTAAAACAGCAGAGGTTTAGCAAAACTCTTAGTCATCATCTTCCAGTAAAATTCAAATGCTAATGCTACAAATGTAGTAAGCAATTTAGACTCTTACCTTTACTTATTGAAATTACACAACTCCTTCTTACTACTTCTCTCCTCTACACCTTCAGTTATACTCTCACATATAAAAGATGTCTTCGAAAAGGGTAAGTGTAAGTAAAACGACAAACTGTATTAAGGGTAAGTGTAAGTAAAATGACAAACTGTATTTTTGTATTTAGAGTAGTACAGAATTTTGTCGATCACATGATTTATAGGGTATAGGGGTATGTGTTATAACGCATATGCAAAAAATTAAAAAATTCAAATATATATATATAATTTAAATTATTAATAAGTTTCCATATAAAATTCCATATCAAGTGATGCGGAATTCGCCTTCAATTCCGTATATTTGCATACGGAATTTTATACAGATTTTACACAAAATTTATATGGAAAAATTTTAGTATAATTCAAGATAATTTCAGTATATATTTTTTCATAGGGTAATAATAAAAATTTCATCCTTTAATAACCTTAATGTTGGCTAAATTTATTCTGGTCGGCGTTAATACAAAGCCGGCCTGCTTTATTATGATATATTTTGTAACTTACATAGGGTCATGTAACTTACGATGTAACTTACAATGTAAGTTACATTGTCAGGTAAGTTATTACAACCCTAGTTGCGGCATCTATGGTTAATCATGGGATCACGCCCCAAAGTGTAGATCGATGGCGCAGCCCGGCAAAAAAATAAAATCAATGACAAGCCGTAACTAGATCTTTTTTATCTTAAAGTCATTAGTCAGTATAATCGTTCATTAAAAGGTTGGCTTTAAAATTGTTTCGATTGGTAAATTAATTAACGCGCGGCAGATCCTCGATTTTGATTGGCTAACGGCCGAAGATCTTCAAAATTTTGGCCCGTATTACATAATTGTTTACTAATTTCCGGCCGGAATTTACCTTTTAATTTTTTCATTACAAAATTAGAAACTTTTTTAAAAAATAAGCCCACAGTATGGTAAAATTGGCCCAGGAACAATTTCCACTTAATGGGCGGCTGCGATTTCATTGGTAAAATCATGAGTAATTCCGGCCTAATTTTTTGATCGTTGCTCTTAATTAAATTATTAGCTGCGGCTACGCCATCAATCTGGCTAATAACCCTAGCTATCGTGATGCGATTATGAATGGTTAGCGTAACAATGGTGTTCATATCAAAGACCCACGTGAAAGTATGATCGTAACGCTGATAGTCCAATAGAAAGAAACAATAATTAGTTAAAGATCAGAATGTAAAAGCATGTATAAAAATGCTCAATTTCGAACCATGTAAAAGTTAAGTTCATATTTATCTAATTAATAAAATCCTCTAAAACCTAAACCCTCAGACAGCCGGGTTACACTATTAACAGATCATCTATTCCGTATAACTTATGCTATACCCAAAGCTAGCTTATCATGCATAAACATTGCTCTTCCGATCTTCCCTATAAAAAATATTTATATAAACTTGTATTGATATGTAAAAGAGCATCATTCTGTCTAATTTTTGTCTAGTTTTATTTGAAATAAAGCAAACATTAGGCAAAATGGTGTTTTTTTTTTTTGATATGTTTTATATATGTTATACAAATATCAAACAAGTTAATACAAATCTTTTTTATAGGGCCTGGACGTAATAACGGCAGCTAGGGTACCTGCACTAGGTGTGCGGAGAACTTACGCACTGTGCAAATTCATGTGATATGTGCAAAATAACAAATAACGTGAATTTGCACAGTCCTTATACACTTTTTGGGGTCTTAAATTTACGTAACAAAATCAATATCGCAAGGCTCTGAACCGGCTCTATATAACACAAGTCGAGCCTTCATTAGCCGAGCCATTTGTAAGCCGAGAGTTGATAGCTCGGCTAACGATCGGCTCAAGTACTGTCATTATCTCCAGATTTATTTATCCATTATTTGTTTTGATCAATTATTTACTAAATAACTAGTGTCAGTGTTGTCAATGGACATGCTTAGACATATGCCCATGTACATCGTAGTGTAATGTTAGGCTAAGGTTAACAATTAGGTGGCCGGATTTTGTATTGCCGGTAATTTCTAAATTAAGGTTAGATTTTCATATTC